AGAAGTGTCATCTGCAAATAATACTATATCATGGTTATCTCCTACTATGTAAGGTAAGAAACAGAAAGGTGCCGAGAATTGAGCCTTGACGCACGCCCATTTGTTCCATCGACCCGGAAGAACTCATACTGTTAATGACAACTTTTTGCGTTCTCTTACTTAATTATGAAATAATTAATTTAAGAGCATCGATTTTTACACGGTAGTGTTGAAGTTTCCTGATTAATGTTTCGTGGTGAACACAATCGAAGGCCTTGGATAGGTCACAAAATATACCCAAAGCATCCCGTGAATTCTCCCATGCATTAAAGATATATTTAATCAGCTCAACACCGGCATCAGTTGCCGAGTGACCTCTTGTGAAACCAAATTGATTTTTATGAAGTAAATTATTTATATTAAAGAAGTTTAAAATTTGATCCAGAATATTTTTTTCAAAAATCTTATTAAGTGTTGGTAGTAGAGAAATAGGTCTAAATTGGCGGGGTCTAATGTACTACCAGATTTAAATAAATGTATTACTTTACTTTGCTTCATTAAATCGGGAAACACACCAGATTTGATACTAGTATTAAAAATAATAGCTAAATAAGGCGCGATTGATTCTATTATAGACGCAATAACTTTAACGGAAATCCCCCACAGATCCGCACTTTTCTTAACATCAATAGTTTTAAAATATTTTACAATATCTTTAGATGTTACTTTATGAAATTTAAAATTCTTTGTACACGCATTTACATTTTGTTTAAGTAATGATTCGGCGACGATAGGAGAAGAATTCAGTGACTAAGTAGTTAATATCGGAATATCAGTAAAATATTTCTCAAAAACCATTGCAACGTCCTGATCTGATTTAGTTAATTTGTTGTTACCTCTTAACTGGTAGTTTGAATTGCGAGAGTTGATCTTACCAGTTTCGCCATTAATTATACGCCATGTAATTTTAATTTTATTAGAAGATGTCTTAATTTTGTTGTTCAAATGCAAAGACTTGGCTTTGGAGCACACTGTTTTAAATATTTTTGAATATAATTAATAAAATCAGGCGTTACTTTGCGGAAATCCATTATATAAAAGCTTTTACAAAAATTTACTTCGCAAATATCCGCGTTATAAAATAAAATGATGTGTCTTACCTAGGGGATAGTGCACCCAATTGAGGGAGGGTGGGAGGTGCTCTTCATACTAGGTAAGACACATCATTCTATTTTATAACGCGGATATTTGCGAAGTAAATTTTTCTAAAAGCTTTTATTTTTGAATATTTTTTTACATATGCCCTAATTTCGACGATATGATTATATGATTATAAAGATCATATAACCTATATCTGCTGTTATGGATTCCTACCGTCGCCCATTCATTGAATGACTTCTGACTGTTCAAGGAGAATGTTTTAGAAGTAAAAGTACTATTAACTAACTAACGAACACACAGCCCACCTGATGGTAAGTGGATGCTGTGGCCCATAGACATCAACATCTATCCTCGATTAAAAATAAAAATGCAGAATGCGATCCCTGAGGACTAAGATAGAATTCCTCGTATCCAGTAAAAAGGGTTTCCGGTTCTCTACACTCATCATACAGAATACAGCAGCATTGAGCTGCTATTTTACGCTGGTATTCTGTGAGAATACCAACTTCCTCGGTTAATCCGACCCATTCGTGCTACAACTATAAGAGCTGCAGAATTGCTCTACCACGTGAAAAAACAAAATTCTTTATATTGATAGATGACATAAAATCATCAAACAATCTAATAGTAACAACAAAATTAGTTCTTTGTGTGTTCCCGTTCCATTTTTCCGTTTTTTTACAAAAGAGTTTAAGTTTTTGATGAATTTTAGGCCATGGTGAGAAGGCGAGGAAAGAGTATATTGTTCCACGAAGACTATATTTACCAACGCATCAATAACGATATTGGATTAATCTTTTTAGACAAAAGTCTACCTTTAGGAAACACAATGAAAAGAGTGGTACTTACCAAACAAAATAGTGTCGGCCTTACCGCCGTGGTTGCAGGATGGGGAATTATAAATGTAAGTAAAGGTCCTATAATTTTCAGCTCGGATCCAGCTAAGGTTGGATTTTCTAAGTAGAGATACACACTCCTCGATGTAAAGTAGCTTTAAAGATGAGAGGGGATCATGGGTTACATCTTTTAAAAAGATCCATATTAAGGGTTTGCTCATGACTAACAATGGGCTAATGATGATCGTGAAAGCCTAGAGCAATTACCGTGAATTGGCCTTCTAATTAGAACAGAATGAAAATCTCACATGAATAGGATTTCTAATAAATTCGCCACTTCTATCTAAAAAACCTTGTTTTTTTGATCGTAAGTTCAGGGTTTGAATTCAGAACATTTTTTGTTTTGTTTTAAACAAACGTTGTCCCCACACTAGGATTTTCTCCTGTGTCGTGGAGGCAGTTTACAGACAAAAATTGCACGAGGACAGACATCCAGACCCGGAACAATTATTTGTGGGCCATACAAATACTTGTTCCGTGCGAGATTCGAACCCGCGGCCCCCAGCGCAACAACTCATTGCTAAGCCACTGCGCCACGGAGCCGTCATCACAACATCATCCTTAATTTAAAAAAAGCAAAACATTTGAACTTTAAAAGTAATTTTTTCAGATTCCTTATGATATATTTGTCAAGATAATGAGCCTGAACGTAGCGTATAGCCAATTTTGGCGAGTGCTTTTAATTAATTTCTATACGGGAACTGTAATGCACGACGATTCCTTAGAATCTGACGATAGACCGCCTTAGTCTAGGAAGTATATCTTCTTAGATTCTACGGAAAAGTTCGACGTTCATAAAAACTGAGGCTCTTATAAGTGGGTATTAAACCAGTAAAATTTACGATTTCACCCTAGCGTGCCGCACTGAGACAACGGCACTATAAGCATAGCTCGCTCAACGTCATGGTGTAGTCACGCAAAGCTTATGCAAGATCTCAAAACATACTATTTCATTACTTATGTTATATTTATTGGGGCCCCCATATATCTAAATTAGCAAGCAGACTTAGTTCTGCAGCATATGCTGTAAGAAAGACTAGAAGTCTCACAGATGTTGAGACAGCTAGGTTAGTGTATTTTAGTTACTTTCATAGCGTAATTTCTTATGGAATTTTGCTATGGGGTATTGCGGCTGATATTGAGGCTATATTTGTTTTGCAAAAGAGAGCCGTACGTGCGATTTATAACCTAAATTGTAAAGAGTCCCTCAGAGAAAAATTTAAAGAAATAAAGATATTAACTTTCGCATCGCAATATATTTATGAGAATGTAATGTATGTGCATAAAAACATAAATAGCTTTAATAAGAATAAGGATGTGCATATTTTAAATACTAGGAACAAACATAAGCTTGTAATGCCAGTTACTAGACTTCACAGAATCAGTAATTCATTTATAGGGCAATGTATACGCTTTTATAACAAAATCCCAGAACATATTCAAAGTTTGTCAATAAACAAGTTTAAAAGTTTTATTAAAGAAAAACTGTACAAAAAGGGTTATTATAATATCAAGGAATACATGAATGAAAATAACACCTGGGAATAGGCTGATCGCCACCATGCTGGTTCTATGAAAAATCATTTAAAAATTGTATAAACAAAATTATTGTTAAGTGAAATTATGTTTAAAAAAAAGTCCCGCTGGGTTTCTTGCTGGTTCTTCCCAGGATAGAGGTATTTTCCGAACCAGTGGTAAATAAAAAATGACTTTCAATAAGTATTATGTAATAATTAATATTGAATAAAAAAATATTCTATTCTTTTCTATGTTTCTTACCATCCTTGCAGGTTGCATGATGTGTTTATAATATTATAGTACCTGTATGACCGAACTTTACTCGGAATTAGAAAAAAAAAAACTGGATAGGTGTGTGGTAACACTGAAATTTCTTAGAAAATCAAAAACTGAACAAACTAGCAAGTTATTAGTTTTACTATATATTTTCAAAATAGTGTCCATTTACAGAAACACATCGCTGCATCCGATGAGACCACTGAGAAAAGCACTTTGCCCACTCGTCCTTAGGGGTCTCTTCAACGGCATTTTGAAACGTAGCCACTGCTTCCTCGGCGTCCATAAAACGTTTTCCCCGAAGTTTTTCTTTTATTTTAGGAAATAAATAAAAATACAAAGTGCGAGGTCAAGGCTATAGGATGGGTGACAAGTGGCAAACAATTGTTAGTGTACCAATCTGCAGTAACTGTTTTTCGATCCTCTAAAACAATTGTTGCGTACTGACCTATCCTTCCGAAGAACGAGGCCACCATCTTTTTTCCCACGCTTCGATCTGTCTTAACTGTAATTGGCAATTCCTCGGAAGGAAACACCTAAACAGCAGACTGTCTCTTAGTTTTAGGGTCATAACATTAAATTCAGCTTTCGTCACCCGTAAGTATATCGAACACAGCATTTGAATCATCTCCGTTAAATCGTTGAACCATTTCCCGACACCAATCAACACGACGTAGTTTTTGGGCCTCTGTCAAATTATGAGGTTTCTACCGGGCACAAAGCTTCCTACGACCGCTAAATGTTAATAGAGGATTTTGTGCGCTTATATTAAAATCAATAATTATCAATCAATGAATTAGTAACCAACAAATAATGCATACAGTTATATAAAGATGTCAAAAGTATAATTACAAAAAATAATTACCAAATAAAGAAAATTAAATTAAACAATATTAAATAGCTTGTCAGTTAATAATAAAAATGTCAATTACGAGCTTTAGTCCATAAAAGTTATAATTTTTTTCATTTTAATTATTCGTAAAAGTTGCAATATCTTGGGATTGAATGAAAGATGTCTTTCTCGTAACGGCTTTAATGGCGGACTGAGCGGTGACGTTACAATAATTAACAAATACCTTACACCTCCAGCCTTAAATATCTACATAATTATATAGCAATGAACTTAATAACTAGTTTTAAACTTATAATTTAACTAAGTATACCATTAATCTAACATTGGAATTTAATTACGGGTTTTCGGATTCGCCTGGAACGGGTCACTGGCCGCGACGGTGGCGGTGGTTGTGGAGGAGTGGCGGGGCCTGGTACAGTCTCGCTGGGACATTGCGTATCTGCCACGTGCTCGGTATCCGCGTCATCTTTTCCAGCCGAAACCGCCACCTCCGTTTGCAACTCTGAAGACGCATCTGCAAACTCATCCTCATCCTTTTCATCGACCTCATTAGTGATATCTGGACAGGTAACATCGGATAAGCGCGACCTACGACTTATTTGATCAATATGTCTTTTAATAAGTCGACCGTCACCATTGTCGAGAACGTATCTTCCAGAACCTTCTTTCTGGGCTACCGTGCCCTTGACCCATTTATCCCGGGTGCCGTAGTCCCTACTCCAGACGGTGTCTCCCAAAGAGAAATTACGCAGAACACCACCCGCATATTCGACTTGACGCTGCTGAGCATCGAGCACACGCGCTTGCACCACGTACCCACCGCGAAGTAAATCTAACCGTGAACGCAAGGAACGTCGCTGCAGCAGCATCGCTGGGCTCTCACCCGTGGTGCTTTGCTTACTGTTGCGATAGCTTAGTAAAAAGGTTTGTAGGGCGGTATCAATATCTACGTCATCCCTATAAGCCTTTTTAATTGCCCTCTTACACAGCTTAACAGCATTTTCCGCTGCCCCATTAGATGCAGGGTGGTACGCCGGTGAAAACCTTTGCTGAATGCCATTATTTTTCAAAAAACTTTTAAATTCAATACTTGTGAAAGGCGGTCCCTGGTCAGACACTAGTTCTAAGGGCAAACCGAATCTTGCAAATATTGACCTCAGCACCTTAACAATGGAAGTCGCATTCGTTCGCGCTACTTCAATAATTTCAAGCCATTTCGAGCTCGAATCTATTAAAACTAAATAAGTTTTACCTTTATACGGTCCTAGGAAGTCTATGTGAACTCTAGACCAGGGAGGCAAGTAGGGCCAGGGGTTAGGAGGCGCGCGCGGCGGGGCGTCCGCCTCAGAGGCGCAGGTCTCGCAGCTTCGGCATAGCGCTTCCACATCCGCATCGATGTTCGGCCACCACACATAACTCCGTGCCAGCCCCTTAGTTTTCACAATACCCATGTGGCTGCTGTGTAGTTGTTTTAAAATAATTGGACGTAAATATGAAGGTATTACCATTCTATACCCCCACATAATCGATCCGTTATCTAAATATAGTTCATTGCGCCTAACAAAATAAGGTTTAACCTCTTCACCAGGGCAAACTGTCGGCCAACCCGATTTGATATAGGCGAAAATTCTACTAAGAATAATATCCTTTGAAGTCGCCTTCGTAACATCCTCATTAGTAACCGGTAAAAAATTTTCAACGAAGTTAATATAAGTAATTTCTCTATTTATCGTTTTTTTATTATTAGAAGAAATTGGTAATCTTGATAAACCGTCGGCGCAATTTTTATTAGACGTTACGTATTCGATATTGTAGTCGTAACCAGATAAAAGTACGGCCCAACGTTGGATACGTGAAGCGGCCATAACCGGTATTCCCGTTTTTTTACCGAATATGTGTGTTAACGGTTTATGGTCCGTACGCAATATGAATTTTCGCCCATAAAGATACTGATGATATTTTCTTACACCGAACACAATAGCGAGCGCCTCCCGATCGATCTGCGAGTAGGCTCGCTCTGCAGCCGTGAGCGAGCGCGACGCATACGCCACCGGCCGCTCGCCCTCTGGCGTCAGGTGCGAGATCACTGCACCTACACCCACGCTACTCGCATCACACGTCAGCACAATAGGCAAATCGCTAGAGTAATGCATTAGAATTTTACTAGAACTCAATAGTTCTTTTACCTTTTTAAAGGCTCTTTGACAATCGTCACACCAATCAAATTTTATTCCCGTACGCAATAAATTATATAAGGGTGCGAGAATAGTGCTGATATTTTTTACGAATTTTGCATAATACATTATCATTCCTATATAGGCCCTTAACTCAGACACGTTCGTAGGAACGGGAGTGTCTACTATTGCCTTAATCTTATCCGGACAAGTTTGAATACCATCGTTACTAATTACATAACCTAAGTAATTGACTGATTCAGCAAAAAATACACACTTTTCCTTTTTAACTCGAAGTCCGTACGACTGCAAACGGTCAAATACTTTATGTAAATTACTAATATGCTCCTCTGTGTTGCGCCCTGTAATAATTATATCGTCCAAAAATACGCCTACATACGGTAGATTAAATAATTGCTCTAAATGTTTTTGAAAAATGCCAGGGCTTGATGATAAGCCGTATACTAAGCGGTTATACCTAAACAAACCTTTATGTGTGTTGATCACCGTATATTTGGCAGATTCGTCAAGTACAAATTGTGCGTAAGCTTGTGAAAGGTCAATTTTACTGAACCTCTGCCCCCCTTGTAAACGTACCAGTAAGTCTTCTACTCTAGGCAAAGGATAACGGTCGACTTCTATAACTTTATTTAAAGTTAACTTATAATCGGCGCAAATCCTAATGTTACCGTCTTTTTTCACTACGGGCACAATGGGAGTCGCCCAGTCGGAGCGGTCGACGGGTGTGAGAATACCGTCCGCCACCAGCTGCTCGAGTGCGCGCTCCACGGGTGCACGCAACGCATAAGCCAGCGGACGCGCTCGCATGAACACGGGCTGCGCTCCCTCCCACACACGGATGCTCACCGGCGGCCCAGTGAACCGTCCCAGGCCGTCCGCGAACACCTTACAATATCTGGAACTGAAATCGTTTAAGTTAAAAACATCATTCGATAAACAGTTTAAGCTTCCAAATGGGGGTAACTGTATATTGAGTTCTGCCAACCATTGTCTGCCTAACAATATACTTTTACCATTTTTAATAACATATAAATCGAGATGCTTTTCTTTATCTTTGTACTTTACTAAAGGCCTTATCACACCTACAGGTTTCACTTGTTCACCCGTATAGTACCTTAGCAACAAAGGACACATATTCAGTTTTAGGTTACTGAATTGTTGTTTATATAACTCGTAGCTAATACATGAAACGGCACTGCCTGTATCACATTCCATTTGAACATCCCTACCGTGTACTGTTAATGATATAAACAATGGTTTGTAATGACTAACGCTTAATTGATTAATGCAAACCATTACCTCGTCACTTCCTTCACTGTTTAATAAACTGTCAGTCTCACTCTGCACCACGTTGAGGCTGTGTTGTCCTGCTAGATAAGGACACATCCTTTGTAAATGCCCTTGTTTATTGCACACTCGACACACGTAGCGAGCAAACTTGCAGGTCACTACATCGTGTGCATTACCGCACGCACGACACTCGCGCTGGTGTCGTCGTCGATCATCCAGCACCGATGTTGATACCCTCGGCCCGGTGGGCGTTGCTGCTGCTATCCTGGATGCTCTGCCACGCATCCTGACCTCGCCCTTACTGCCCGCGCGCCGCTCGCCGTCACAACCGATCGCGCGCCCGGTCCGTCTTGTACTGACCATCGCGTAGCAGTTTGTGGATGCGTTCGAGTCTCCAGATATTTTCGGATGCACATCGACGCTGGCTGCATCCTTCTCCGCCGCCTCCATACTCACGGCTAATTGATAAGCCTTGCCAAAGTCTAGTTTGCTTTCGGCAAATAATCTCTGCCGAATTGTTTCACTACTGATACCGCATACGAACTGATCGCGCAAACTATCTTGCAACCAGCTACCAAACTCGCAAGTTTTCGACATTTTCTTTAGGTCCGTTACATATTCTGATATACTTTCACCGTCCCTTTGTTTTCTTTGTCGGAATTTAAATCTTTCAGCCAGCTCGCTGGGTTTTGGTTGAAGGTAATTTTCCAAAATTTTTGTTAGCTCTAAAAACGTTTTTGATGTGGGTTTTTCCGGGGTACACAAACTCACGAGTAGTTCATAACTCTCCGCCCCCATAACCGTGATTAATGTAGGTACATGTAGCTCACTTGATATTTTGTTCACAACAAAGAATTGTTCGAGCCTTTCCACATATAGTTTCCAATTGTCTGTGGCCACTTTAAATTCCGATATTTTACCAATCGACATGGTTTAGGCCGGTTAGCTTATACACACGCGAACTTTTACGATATATATTTATTTTTCTTTTTTTTTTTTTTTTCTCGTCGCCAATGCAATATCTTGGGATTGAATGAAAGATGTCTTTCTCGTAACGGCTTTAATGGCGGACTGAGCGGTGACGTTTCAATAATTAACAAATACCTTACAAAAGTATTAAATAGTTTTGGTAGTATTTTATTAAAACAATGAAGTTCTGTTAAAAATACGATAATTAATTATTTTTCCACAAAAGCTTTGACCTCACGGTTAAAAAGTACGCAAGGCATCATATATAATGTAAGTAACTCCGAAAATAATAATTTATTTTTGCCGATTTATTGGGCTAAGTGGGTTAGAACAGTACAAACAAAAATAAAAAATATGCGTGAGTGTCGTGCGACACTCGCTTGGAACGAAGTTCCTTTCGTAGTGTATTATTATTGATAAACTTATTACATTATTGATTAACAAATAAATGAATTACTAGCGTCTATTAAAATAAAACGTCGTTTAAAATAAAATAATATTTCTTTTACGGTAAGAAAAGAAAAAGTGAGAGGGAGATGGATTCGCACACCATGGAGTTACACACTATCCATTGTGCGTGTATAAATACACGCGCAATGGATAGTGTGCAAAAACTAGGGTCTAACACTAGGGTTACCAGGTGTCTCGCTGAAAAATCTTGACAAAAAGCCTGATCTCTATAAGAATGTCCTGACATTGTTGCCGCGAGCGGGCGCTATTAAATATATTCATATATAAAATTATCTGTAAATAAAATTAATGAACCAATATGTAGCGATTTTTCAAGCAACTCCTTTCCGGGGAGGTTATAGGTTATTCAAATTTGAATAAAGAAAAAATTATTTATGGTTTTTTATCTTGAAAACTGGTGAAAATATTCTTGAATAAAAATAACAAAATATGTATTTTTAATTTTTTCAAAATATACCAACGTGTTTTTAAACATGGGTGTGAAATTTGTATAAAAATTGTATTATAATAATAACAGCCGAAACAGTTGTACGTAGACGTGTGAAATTGGAAACATAGGTTTTTGAAGTTATACTTCTTTTGGGGTGTTTGGTAAAAATTATGAGAGTGAATTTTTACGATGCGCGCGCACACCGACAGCTAAAAACGACACCATGAAGTTGTTACGATGCGCGCGCACACTATCATATAAAAGAGACATATAAAGAGAATACGCACGGACGGCCCATCCGTGCGGCAGCTTTTGCTGCTGCACGGATGGGCCGTCTCGAACCGGGGTGGTACCACGACCTCACAGAAAACCAGCGTGAAGTAGAGGTTTACCTCTGCGTTTCGCTTGGTGAGTGCAGGTGGCCCGAGGCCCTTTTTACTGGAAATGGGGCATTCCATCTTAGTCCTTACGGGTGACAACGCATCTACATTTTGATAGATGTAGATGTCTATGGGCCGCAGCAACCACTTACCATCAGGTGGACTGTGTGCTCGTTTGTCACCCTTATCCTATGAAAAAAAAAGAGACAACTTCAGTGGGTAGGTAATTGTCTCTGAAGTTTTTTTTTGTTTTGTTACGCTAAAGAAGTATAACTTCCTACGTGCTTACATATGTACACACACACACGTTATTACGTAGGCATCCATAAAGAAAAGATTTTAGAAAATTCTAACTAAGAGGGTGAAATAGGATGTCACAGTTTGTATGAATCTTTTTTTGCTACGGGGCGGCATAGTTTTAAAAATTTGAAATTAAGTTTATTGTACATCCTTACTTATTTGTTTCCTTCCGAAATATAAATAATTGCAAATAACATTAGTAGCAAACTAGCAAGACAAAATATTATTTTGCATTAATTACGCACTGATGACTCAACGAAAACGAAACGAAAGCAACGAATATACTCTCTAAGTAGTAATGGTCCATATTTCCAGGCGATTCTACTGTAAGAAAAATACATAAATACGACAATTTAGTTTTTGCGCTTTTTAGTTCGTCATATTCCTATCGATCTATTTATATCCAACGTGTACAATACGATCTTATTTGGCGCGGTCGCGGTGCACAGAAACACAGTGAGCACATCTCAACGGAGCGATTATTACTCCCTAAGGACAGTTCTATATAATATATAAGTGACGGTCATTTATTACATTTTTTGCTTTATGATATGCACGACGACCAGAACAAATCAGTTCTCGATGAAAATAAGAGGTACCCTCATAACGATCCAATAACAATCCTTATAACGATTGCGGACATTCACAATATAAGCTATGTTTATAATAATTTATTAAACTTGTTTCTCTCAGTAAACTATTAAAAATAGTTAAAAGTGAAAATCTTTTCAGGACGAAACAAAAGAGGGAACGCACATCCTAAGGTCAGCTATACAAATAGTAAGGCCGATTAGGGATTGTATCATAGACAGACGGCAACTGCCTGGTATGACGTGCGCAGGCAGTAGAAACATCAATCTGCCAAGACCTAGTCAGTAAGTAAATCTCGAGTGATTTGTGATTTCTCAGAAACAATAATTTCAAAACAAAGTAAAGGGTTTTTCAATAAGGACGTGTAGATGGGGAAATGAAAAAAAAAAACAAGCCGTGTTAAAAAATACAAAATTCTTTTTTTGAAAGGTTCACATGTGCCATTAAGTGTGGAGTATGATATATTTCAAATGCCCGCCTCAGCTTCTTACAGTGGCACGAATCTGAGTGGTCCAATTTTTAACGACTCTTCTGCATAGATACGGCTGAATTTTTGTGATGGCCTGTGTTTTGTTCACCTTTAGGGCATCGGTCGATTGTGGTTTGTTTGCATATACCTGCGACTTTAATAAACCCTATGAGAAAAAGTCTATAGGTAGGTAGGTAGGTCTCTAGGCCAATTCACATAATCCCTGCGAAATCAAATCAAATCTCTCATGGGGAATGTCAATCGTGGCGTCCGATGTGAGTAAAGAAACCGTACCGTACGGAGGCAAATTCATGCAACTGCGATATGATATGATAATAACACTACTACAAGACTACAAGCTTGAGCAGGCGGCTCGTCACGTAGAGAAAAACTGCTTTAAACCGGCTCCGCCTGCGCTCGAACTCAGGGTTGTGTAAAGAATAATAAGTGTAAAATTTTACTTTTTAAAGAATTACCTATATTCGTGTTCAATGAAATATAAAAAAGTGTAAATATGGTTTAATATACTTGTTTGTATGAACAATAATAGAATAAATATAAATTATGATCATATGTGATGATGGTTGCTTATTCACGCTATTTCATTAAACAATGCATATAATAAAATAACAAAATATTGATGCTGTTTCGTACGGTAAAGGACGAGAACCGAGTGGGAAATCCCATATAGTCCTCAAGGGTTCAATACATCTGTCATTGTTAGCCCGAGCCCGTACACTCGTGACATTATATTTCCAGAAAACATTATCACTAACACAAACAGTAACCTATATCTAAATTATAAATTTATTTAACTAAATTATTTTATTATTTTACAGAGGAGATTCCGGGAGTGCTCTTGTCATAGAAAATTATAAGCAGATCGGCTTAGTATCCTTCAGATACCCATCACGCCCTGGTCTTATATTTTACACTAACACCTCATACTATTGCGATTGGATCAAAGAAAATTCGCGATTTTTATTACAATGTGAAAAAAACAATGCCCAAAATAGACAACGTCATTATTACGAGTTGATTAATTAAAAGCTTTTTTTCTTTAGCTTTAATAAGCAAAAGACTTGAAGATAGTTATATAATAACGGTTTTTGGGTAAGTAGTTCAACTATAAAAAAAATAAACTTTAAATCCAACTACTATATACTCGAAAATTATATTCTATAATCTAATTTCTTCTTCTTACAACTAATTCTAAAAGTAATAAATATATGAGTGGGTCTGATGGAGTTCCTCCTACTGTGCCGAAGACCAGTGCTCCGGAATTAGCACCGGTTCTAATGCATCTTTTCCGGTACTCCTACTCTGAATGTTTGGAAGACAGCTTTAGTGGACGCGATTCCTAAAACGGTGACTGATCAGACCCGTCCCATGACAGGCTTCTCACCATCGCCTCCTTGTTCTCCAAAATAATTGAATCCATTAGTAACTGCCAGCTCATAAGGTAACATGAAAACCACCAGCTGTTTTAGTTCTAATCTTCCTATTTACCTGACTCATAGATGAACGAAAGCAGTAGCGCAAGAGGGAGGCCTTAGTCGTTACTTTGGACAAAGCGAAGGCCTTCGATAGGCTTTGACACATAACGCTTCTTTAGAAGCTTCCTTCCTATGGTCTTCCCGGAGTATTGTGCAATTAGATCATCTGTTTTCTTGCAGATCGGAGCACCAAGGTCATAGGACGGTGCATACTAAAACTATAAGCCTATTAATGCTAGTGCTCCACAAGACTGCGTGCGATCAACTACGCTGTTTCTTCTGCATATCAATATAATGTTGCTATTACTGGTTGTAACACTGGTGATGCTTTTTACACCGGCCTCACTGATATTTCTCGGGAACACGTCATCGAGTATCGGAACAAACTTGTGTCTGAATTCGAGTCTTTAATAAATAAAGTTTCGGATTGGGGACGACTCTAATCTAGTTTAAACATCAGAGAACTACACGTTTACTGTTAGAAAAGTAAGTAGTTGCTGTGGCCCATAGATATCTACATCAGTCCTCGACTACGAATCAAAATGCAGATGCATTGTCACCCGTGAAGACTAAAATGGAATGCTTCGTTTCCAATAAAAGAGTCTCAGGTTCTCTACACTTGCCATACAAAACACAGCAGCGTTAAGCTGCTACTTTACACTGACATTCTGTGAGAACGTGGTCCTTCCCCGGTCGAGCCGGCCTATTCGTGCTACAACGACGGTCGACACTTACTATCAGGAAAATTTAATTTAATGTGACCGCGTAGCTGCGGTGTGGAAAGCTAGTTAAAATTATGTATTTCATTTTTATATCCCATATAG